TTCCCTTATTGGCAAGGAAGAGGGAAAAATTACCATTGTTTCCAAGAAAGTTGTAAGATCTCTAAAGTATAAGAACATTGTTAGAAACCTCATTGCCATATACTCAAATAAAAATTTTATTTGTGGGACACATGAACCCTACCCAGGTAGTCACTTTCTAGAAAAAGATTGAACCACTTGGAGATGTTAAGTTTTTCCGTATAGGGATCTAAGTATCAGAGTATGTGTATAGAATAGAAGCTGAATCTTACCCAGGAATGCCTTAGACTTGACTTGGCCTGTCAACTAACAGGTTTTACTTTCGGGTCTTGTATATTAGTGTGAAAAGATACATACTGAATTTCAGGAATGAGGAGTGATAAAGCAACATTTCAAAATTAGAAGAAAAAAATCCAATAACTAAAAACATTTTATGAGACAAAATATGCATTATTTCATCTTCTGAGTTAGCTTCATCTCTTGGAAAACATTACTAGTGGGACTTCTATGAAATACAGGACTGAATAATCAACATGAAAAAAAGGAGGGGCCTCTGTCTGTTCAGAATGTGGGCCTTGTTGGTGTATAGCTCCTCTTGAAACAGTGACACTGAATAAGCAATTCTACTTTCCAGGAGAGGGTTTGTCTCAAATCAGAATAGTCTGAGCCCAGAATCCCATAAAAGGATATTTGTCTGTTAGGAATTTTCCTTTATACTTCTTATAGGATGCAGATTGAAAGAAAACCATTCAGTAGTTCTTGACTATGTAATCTGGGGTTTTTTTTTTGTTTGCTTGCTTTTCTTTTCTGAGCATGTTTTTGGTAGCTTTTAATGAATTTTACCAGAATCATTTAGTTTGGAAGGGACCTCTTGAGATCACCTAGTCCAAGGCCTCTGCTTAGGTAGAGTCAGCTAGAGCAGGTTGTCCAGGATCATGGGCAGTCAGGTTTTGAGTGTGTCCACACTCAGAGACTTGACAACGTCTCTGTGGAGAGATTGCACAACCTGTTGCAGTGCTTGGTCACCCCCATGGTGAAAAAACAGTTGGTTTGGGGAGGCTGTGAAAGCTGTGTCTCTTTCATTGGATCTTATTGGATGTTCCCATTAGTTAAAAAGAAAAAATAAATCACAATTCTTCCTTGTAGCCTTTGTGCTTTCTAGAAGGGTGGGAGAGATACTATCTTAATTTTAAGAACATTCTGTAGCAGAGCTGACATGATAGTGAGAAATTGCCTAAATTGCTGTTCCTGAGATCTCGAAGGTAAGTGCTGAGGTCGATTTCTGTGAAGTTTTGCTTGTGGCATCCCGATAACAAGTTAGCTAAAGATAGTATTCTGTTGGTAGAGCAGTACCAGAAATGGTAGTAGAATGTTTGTATCCTGATGGTGTAATTATTCTGGATTTGTTTTCAGTGGAGTGTGCATAACCACTTAATTTACTTACACTGAACAGTAAATGGTGTTAAATTGTCCCATTAGTTTCCTTTGTGCAGCACATTCTCTGGTTTACATGGGAGAATTCCAGTATGTTGACTGATCCCATGTCACCCGTTTTTCTGCACAGAAACAAGACGGATTGATGAGATGCATGTGTAAATAAAACGAATGATGCTTAAAAGGGGTAGAAGGAGGCATTGTAATTTCTAATGACGGACAATTCTGTGTGACAGTGATTTTGTATTTAGGAGCAGGTGGGTGTCAGCAGTTGGCTGCTGAACTGAGTATTCAGGCAGTTCTTGCCCATCTAAGACTTCCCTAGTTCTGAATTTTTGAAGTCACTGCTGAAGTACATGCCCATCTATGAATGAAAGTCATATTTTCAGATGGAGAAAGCTTCCTAGAGTGACTTGTACAAGGGAGATGCTTTTGTTACAGTTAGTGGGCTGTGGGTTGCATTTGTCCCAAAAGACATCGGGGCTCTTCTAGATGTGGCAATCAGGCCTACCTGTACATAGCTCAGCGTTTGAACAGAACTGGTGCTACTGTGTTGACAAAGACTTCCACGAAGATTTCAGATCAAGTCTCTATGATTAATGAAAGTAGAACTGTTTGTATTAATCAAAAAATACCAAATTGTTAAATGTACATGGAATAGAAAAGGGCTATAAGCAGAATCCTGAAAACTTGGTTTAACTGACCTCTTTATAACTGTAGTAATTTGAGGGTTTGTTTGTCTTACAGGAAAAGAGCAACCCTTTTATTGACATATGCAAGAAGTGACAGGTTGTTTGGAAGATGAGAAATCCATCAATGAAGGAGCTACATATGATGTAGATCTTTAAGATTTTTGACGGTACTTGGGTATTTACAGATGAAAGTAGGACCCTATGAAACCTATGGAAATGCCTGTTTCGTTCCGTAATTGCTTGAATGCTTTAAAAGTCAAACCTTTAATTTGTAATGCCTGAGATGGTAATACAATTAGAGTGAAAAGAAATAATTTTACATTTTGCTGTGACAGAATTTTGTCCTTGAATTGTCTGTGTTATGTAGCCATATAGTTTGACCATAAATTCTCACCCAATACTTGACTGGGACTTTTTACTTGCTCCCACCTCCCTTCCTTAGCAGTAATAATGGAACATCACATGCTGGCTGTGTCAAATCACAGATGTCTTAGAGTATGTACTACTGTTGCTTTTTTTTTTTTTTTCTTTCCCCCAAATCTTCACTTCCTTTCTTTCTTATTTTGAAATCTCCATCTTCACACAAGAGATTCCTTAATATGTTGTGGATGCATACCTTCTTTCAAGTTACAAAGTCTCTTGTTACTAACAGTTTCACTAAAATGAGAAATTTTCTCTCATTGTGGATCAGAACAAGACAACTGCATACGCATTGCATTGCTTGAAGTTCTTTGTAAATAATTGTCCAGTGTTTTTGACTTTGAAAACTAGAAGTAATGGGCAAAATTGAGAAACAGGACATTTTAATCACATCTTATATGGGTCAGTGGGTACACCAAGGCATAGTTAATAACTTTTTTTCTTAAATTAGTATAGTATTTAATAGTGAAATGGAAAGCAGTAGTTTGAGTGTTGCCAGAAAACATCCTTTAGCTGAAAAGCATCAATAATAGTTGTTTTGTATGAATATAATTACCTTCAAAACCTGTATTCAGACCTACGATAACATCATTTGGGCACTGAAGGCAATTTTTTAACCTCCATCATAAATTGTAATGGAAGATAAATGAAAATGTGTCACAATAGTGCAGAAAACTTTCAAGTTGTATTGGATAGACACTAAGATTTCTTTCCATGAACTATGCAAATAAACTTGTTTGAATTCAGTTTATGTTTAGCAGCAGTTAGTCAATTAAAATAAGCTTGCAAGTATATTGTGTTTGTATGTTGTTTAGAAGTAATGTTACAAAGAACTGATTTTTTTTTTTTTGTCTGGTTTTTAATCACTGAGAGTTTTTTTAGAGTAAGTGCTATGGATCTTTTTCACCAGTACATCTTGAAGGCAATTTCTGTGTGTAGCTCTCAAAACTCTGAAGTGAAACTTCTCAAACTTGTTCTGTACAATTTATCAAAGCATTTGTTTACTAGTAAATATACAAAGGAGAGTAACTGTTAGAAGGACATATGACCTTCTAGAACATTTTCCCCCCTCCAGCACCTAATTGACATGAAGTTCTAAAGCAGGTTACTTTAAGAATAATTTTAATAGAGTTTTTCTAATGGAAAGGAAAAATGTCATGAATCGTAGTGTAGTTGTGTTGGTTTCCACTTAAGAATTTACCCTGTGGCAGTGTCACATGTCATTGTTTCCTTTGTTGGTAGATCAGTATTGACAAAAGAAAACATGCTGTACACTGTACTGACATCTTGGCATAGGAAGAAAGCCAGCCACATCTTCAGGAATATAAGTACTTTTATTTTTATAAGACAAGAAACCTTTAAAATTTCACTGATATGTCATATGTGAGTGTAATACAGCTATTGGGTGCCTTTTCAAGGATTAACAGATCTGTAGTTGGATTCTGTCAATATGGGAAGGCTTTGGACTTCAGTATTAAAAGCATTCAGTTTTGCTGAGTTACTGTTAAGATATAAAGGTGAATTTTTTCTCTAACATGGGCACCTAAGTTTAGTTTTTGATATCCAAATTTGCATAGAGAACCTAGGCTTCATTGACTTTATTGACAAAGGGCTTGACTCAGTTGCCTAAAGGGAGGCATCTGGTGTCACTGAGACATGTAGGGTATCTGAAGCAGATGCATGGGGCTGGCAAAAAGGACACACAACCTATAGGTAACTCTTGGCCTTCTCAGTTGGGAGCTGGAGACCAGCTGGGATACTTTAGAGCACCTCACATGTACTAGATGCCTTTGTCTAGGCAACTAATTTGCCTCAGAACTCCATTGACACAATAGGGGCAAAGATGCTTGGTCACATGCAGGGACCTAAATGTGACACCTTTCTTAATCTTGAACACAATCCTGGTCATGTTTTCTGGAATACAGAATCTTACTGCAATGAAGATTGCTTGTTTGTAGTCTTAAATTCCCCACTTTTAATCATATATGGTAATGTATTGGTTGAGTTGAAATAAAAATAGGTAAGTTGAGGAGATATTTTATTGCATATGACTGTTAAGCTACATTTTGAGTACTGTTTGTAACCTTGGACTGCTAGGCAAGTGGAGAGAATGGTCATTTAGTGTGTAGAGCTTGTCAACCTGTCATGGAGGTGTGAGGTTACAATAGTCACCTTTCATTCTTGGCCTGAAGGACACACCTACTGCTCAGATGCAGGGGACAACAGCAAGACTTAGGTGAATAAAGTATTTCTACTTCCAGATTTATGGATATTTATGCTCTAACAGCAGTTTCTCTGATGACTTTTCAGTGAGCTGCTGGTGATCTAATGAAAATATTTTCTGAGTGGTCAGGACATAGGGTTTAAAAAAAATTGGTTGTGAAATGAAATAAAAAATGCAGATTCTCTGAAGCATAAGACACTTAGGAAGATGTCTGTTCAGGTTCATACCTGTTTCTTCTGTAAAAGCAGAAAACGGCAGCATTAAGTTTAAGTCACAGTTGTTTATTAATGTAAGACTAAAACTTTTCACAAATATTTAGTCATAATACCAATCAAGACACACTTTTCTGTGACAGTCTGGACTGAATATACACAATAAACAGTTAACCATAATGGTCTTACTTCAGCTTTTAGAATGCATCATTTCACTGAACTTGTCACAAGAAGAGAAGGTAATAAATGTGCAGTTTTCTGTATTTTAAAGTGGAGAAGATCACATCCATAATAAACAGTATTACATCATAAATTCATAACCCAGCACACATGTACACTGCTCTGTTACTGAATGTAATTAAAAACAATGCAACATCAGCGTTACTTGGAACCACAGCTTCTAGTTGTTATTGAGGACCCACCACGATGCTGAAAGAGAGAATTTATTTATTTATTTGTTAACATAAACAGTATTTCTTTTTCTACCTCTTGTAAAAATCCTAAATAAAATAGCTGTAACATATATAAATATACATTAATTTATATATGCAGCTAATAGTACTTTATTTGAAAGCTGTATATTTTCAATGACAAAACCTCTCCAGGCAGGGGAAGAATACTTCAGATACTAGGAAAGATGAATTTAACTGGTTGGGGGATGGCTTTAGCACAAGAATTTATATCTCCTTTTGATAACATCCAAAGAAGCATTAACATGTCAACTGAGCAGTGTGTCCCCTGGGTGGTTGTGCTGCCTTTAATGACTTTCTTTCCTGGTGACATTACTCAAACCTGGTGTTCTTTTTACATGACTCTAGGAACTAAGAGTGTTTTGACCCAAAAAGTAAGAGAATAGATGGACTTGTAAAATGTCATTGCCATAAAAGATCTGTAATCACCAGATTATAGGCAGGGCTGGAGTGCAACACATTATGTACTTCTTCCCCACAGTCCTTACTCTTTGTCCTTTTGAACCTTATGCAGAGAGGAATCAAGATTTATGGGGAAAGACAGGAAGGAAGGCAAGGAATTGTGTCTGAGATGCCATGTCTCCTTAGCAGAGGGATGTCCTAGGCTCAGTACGTTTTGCCCTACACAGTTTTGAGATTAAATTTATTAACACAATCTGTTTCTGTGAATGTGTCCATAAATCCTTCAATTTATGCCATTTTTATGAAAAATGTTATTCCTGAAGAAGAATGTTGAGAAGATACTTAAGAATCTTAATGGAACTGGGGCTATAAAAGCCTGGTAGTCTCTGACACATCAGTGGATTAATGAATTTTGGCCAAAAAATACCAATTTAACAGTTTATTTTATGGCTTGTAGCATCATAAATGTTCAAAAGTTTTCCCCTAGCTTTTGTTTTCTTCACCAGAAGGTTCTCTAGTTGAGGACACTAGAGAAGTCCAGATCTTACATGAAAATGAGACATTCACTGAAGATGAACTGAGTGATTCATGCCACCCTGGTAGATTGGCCTGAAGCAACTTGGTCAGTTAACAGGTCTGCAAGTGATTATTATAGGTTGTGATTCTTATTATCTGATGGTAAATGAATTTGCTTTAGGATAATACCAGATCTAACAGTCTTGAAAATCCTAATATTTCTGAATAATTTTTGGCCATAGAAGTTGTATCATTATTAATTTTAATTAATTGGTGGAGTAAAGACTTTTAGGTTGTAATCTTTGATTTAATCAGATTTAGAATTGTTTCAGTGCTTAGTTACCTAGATGTCTAAAAAGGTGTGGATGTCTCTGAGCTGGGGTAAATTTGTTTTTAAAATAGAGCTTATCTATGTGCTAGCTGCAGACAAGGTTTTTTTTCCTGATTTTACAGTGGTATCACTTTACAGTGTCTAAAATTCTTTCATAATGTACAGTGGTAGGATTGCAGCCATCATTTTTTTACTTCAAGAATGTTTTCTGTCTTTCAAATACAAATACAGTTGGTATGGATCAAACATGGGAAGTACTTTCTGTGAAACAAAAGCTCAAATCTTTGCACAGATTTAAAAATTACAGATGATCTATAAAATTGGAAAAATAACTGTGAGTGCATTAATTCCTGTTGCCTCCCCCCCAACAAGTAGTGCACACTGAGAAATGCTGTTTCTATGGCAACTGTCTGCCAGGATAAAGTGCTGCAGACTGAAATCCTCCTTAGCAGGTGGAGTCGATGCTTTAACGAGCATTTTGAATACAATTTCAGACACTTTTATTCTTAGGCATTTTAAAATTATTTTTACATTTTATTTTATGTTGATCAGACTTAAGCTGTGTGTAAACCACCCCTGGAACGTTCCTGGGTCATATGCAGTCTAGCTCTTGGACATAGGGTTTTGGAAAAGGCCACATTGGTTCCTACAGCCAAATTTGTCTTAAATCCAGACATTTCCCAGTAAGAAACAAAATTTGAAGGAATTCTTGATTCATTAAGTGCAATCTTCTGATACTGCAGGAATCCCTGGCATATAATTGTGTGTACAGATCAGGTTCATGAGGTCTGAAAATGTCTTGTCTGGTTTCTCGTAGGGGAGATTAGGGTTTTATTGTAACAGATTTGTGTTCCCCAAGATAAAAAATCTGCTGTCCTCCCTCTGGTAAATATGACACTGACGCTTGCTTTGTTTCATCCTGCGCTGTCTCTTTGAACTACTGTTTCTCGGAGAAAAAAGATGTTGCATACTCATTGGTTTGTATTAGAAATAATAATTTGGACTCTTTAACAACTTGCTTTTTCAAAGCAGTTTGTTTTTGGTTTTTTGGGTGTTGGTTTTTTGTTTTTTTTTAACATAGCAGGAAGTATGTACAATAAATTGGTTAGTAAATGTCAATTATTAGTAATTAAGGTTGCCTTCAGTCAGTGTAGGTATTATTAAGTTGAGGTCTACATCATAAATCATTTTTTGCCTGAAAATCTTGAACAGGTTCTATTTTACTATTGACAAATAGTATTGTTTATTCTAGATATTTTCTTAAATAGTATATGCTAGCATAACTTTGCACTATATAAAATAAAGCATTGTGGGTCTTATTCTTGCTGATGCATTTTACATTTCTGTGCTTAAAATAAAAACACTTGGAGTCCCTTTCTCCTCCATACCTTACCAAAGAAGATATGACTAAGGGGGATATTATGCAGTGGTCCTGCATATGGAACAGACAAATATAGCAGAACTCTTCACATGGCACAAGCAAAATAATGTGAAAAATTGACACTTACCAGGGACTAGCATTGTAGTGATGAGCTCTGGAGTTTCCAAGAAGTCCACGTTACTTCTTTGAAATGTCTTGCTGTAATTCATTTGAAGGTGGCTAAATAATTGTAAAAAAATAAGAATATATCAACTATTTTAAAGGGGCTAATTTTTTAAAATGAGAATTAGCAATTTTACAATTAATGCTGTAACAAAGATTTTGGGTTTCAAAATGTAGGGAATGATGGTAGTGGGAGAGAAGACCAGATAAACTGTGAATTGCTTGCATGTTATATTAAAATCAGATTTTCTTCTGTATGGTTAACGGTTACTCTGATGCTCATCTCTTGGTTGTGACCCAGTATAGTGTGGACGTGCCATACTAGTGTTCTTGAGTCTTTGTGAAAGTAAACTTCGAACTGGGGTTTTGTTCAAAAAGAAAGCAGCTAAGAGAGACTTCATCTTCCTTCAGAATGGGTTCTGTTACACATTTAGGACCATAGCGTTTGATTGTTTGATTGTTTTTTTAATTGTAAATGCAGTTAAGGAAAATCTTTTTGTCTCTTCTCAGTTTCACAGGATCACAGAATTGTCTAGGTTGGTAAAGACCTTGAAGATCATCCAGTCCAACCATCAAACCAACGTTAACAGTTCCCAACTGTGAGAGACGTAACACCAACTACACCATATCCCTCAGTGCTATGTTGACCTGACTTTTGAACACCTCCAGGGATGGGGACTCCACCACCTCCCTGGCCAGACCATTCCAACACCTAACAACCTGTTCTGGAAAGAAGTACTTCCTGACATCCAGTCTAAACTTTCCCTGGCACAACTTGAGGCCATTACCTCATGTCCTATTGCTTATTACTTGGTTAAAGAGACTCATCCCCAGCTCTCTGCAACCTCCTTTCAGGCAGCTGTAGAGGGCGATGAGGTCTCCCCTCAGCCTCCTCTTCTCCAGACTAAACACCCCCAGTTCCCTCAGCCGCTCCCCGTACGACCTGTGCTCCAGACCCTGCACCAGCTCCGTTGCCCTTCTCTGGACACGCTCGAGTCATTCAATGTCCTTTTTGTAGTGAGGGGCCCAAAACTGAACACAGGAATCGAGGGGCGGCCTCACCAGTGCCGAGTACAGGGGTCAGATCCCTTCCCTGTCCCTGCTGGCCACGCTATTGCTGACACAAGCCAGGATGCCATTGGCCTTCTTGGCCCCCTGGGCACACTGCTGGCTCCTGTTCAGCCGGCTGTCAATCAACACCCCAGGTCCCTCTCTGACTGGCAGCTCTCCAGCCACTCCTCCCCAAGCCTGTAGCACTGCTGGGGGTTGCTGTGGCCCAAGGGCAGCCCCCGGCATTTGGCCTGATTGAAACTCCTCCAGTTGGGCTCAGCCCATGGCTCCAGCCTGTCCAGGTCTCTCTGCAGAGCCTCCCTGCCCTCGAGCAGACCAACACTCTCACCCAACTGGGTGTCATCTGCAAACTGACTGAGGGTGCACTCGATCCCCTCGTCTAGATCATCAATAAAGATGTTAAACAGGAGTGACCCCAAAACCCAGCTCTGGGGGACACCACTCGTGACCGGCTGCCAATTGGATTTAACTCCATTCACCACAACTCTTTGGGCCCGGCCATCCAACCAGTTTTTACCCAGCGAAGCGTGTGCCCATCCAATCCACAAGCATTCATTTTTGCCAGGAGAATGCTGTGGGAAACGGTGTCAAAGGCCTTACTAAAGTCACGGTAAACAACATCCACAGCCTTTTCCTCATCCAATAAGCAGCTCGCCCTGTCACAGAAGGAGATCAGGTTTGTCAGGTAGGACCTGCCTTTCATAAACCCATGTTGAGGAGACATGATCCCCTGGTTGTCCATTATATGACTTCCAATGGCACTCAAGATGACCTGCTCCATGACCTTCCCTCGTACTGAGGTCAGACTGACAGGTCTATAGTTTCCTGGATCCTCCTTTCTGCCTCTCTTGTAGATGGGTGTCACATTTGCCACCCTCCAGTCCAATGGGACCTCCCCAGTTAGCCATGATTTCAGGTAAATCATGGACAGCAGCTTGGCGAGCACATCTGCCAACTCTTTCAGCACCCCTGGGTGTAACCCATCCGGTCCCACAGACTTGTGTGCATCCAAGCGGTGTAGCAGGTCTCTGACCACCTCCTCTTCAACTGTGCTGACCTCAGTCTGCTTCCCCTCCCCATCTCCCAGCTCATGAGGCTGGTGTCCAGGGAACAGCCAGTTCCACTGCTAAAGACTGAGGCAAAGGAGGCGCTGAGCACCTCAGCATTTTCCTCATCCTTTGGTACCATGTTTCCCTCTGCATCCAGTAAAGGAGGGAGATTTTCCCTAATCCTCCTTTTGCTGTTAACAAATTTATAGAAACAGTTTTTGTTATCCTTAACAGCTGTAGCCAAGTTGAGCTCTAGCTGTGCTTTGGCTCTCCTAATGTTCTCCCTGCACAGCTTCACTACATCTTTAGAGTCTTCATGAGAGACCTGCCCCCTCTTCCAACGGCAATAGATTCTCCTTTTGTCCTTGAGATCCAGCCAAAGGTCCCTGTTTAGCCAGGCCGGTCTCCTTCCCTACCTGCTTGTTTTCCGGCACATGGGAACAGCCTGCTCCTGTGCCGTTAAGACTTTGCTCTTGAAGTATGTCCAGCCTTCCTGGACTCCCATATCCTTCAAGGCAGCCTCCCAAGGGATTTTGTTAACCAGTCTTTTGAACAGGTCAAATTTTGCCCTCCAGAATTCTAAGATGGCAGTTTCACTAACCCCTCTCTTTGTTTCTTGAAGGATCAAATACTCAACCATCAATCATCTCATGATCACAGGATCAAAAAATCATCTCATGAACACAGGATCATGAATTTCTTAGCTGTCTGCATGCTGCAGGCTAGAATTCAGCTGGTAGGACATTTAATCACTATAATTTCTGTTCTGGGCCCAAAATAGACACTCTGGAAATCTGTCAGATGGGTTTTTGTGATGTGTATTTGGAAAGCTTTGGGAGAGCTCCCATGATTGCTTGCATGCTTAAGTGTATTGCTGGATGGCACACCTACTGTCTCACTCATTGGTACCTTTTTTTTCTAATATTATTGAACTGTGGTAATATTGCTGTTTCTCTGTTCTTTTTTCTCTGATGAACTAACATCCATCTGATGTCATACATTTATCTATTGGCTTTTTATGTTCTATTTGAATTAGCTTTGTCGTTCTGACATTTTTATTTATATGCTTCAGTATATTTTAGTCTTTAGGAATTGAAGTATTTTTCTGAAGTATTAATTTGTGATATATTTAGCAAGAGATCAATTAGCAGTATTTGATTTGTATTCAGTCATTCTACACAGTTGCTTTCTAACCTTTGAAACTTTTTGTATTACAAAACCAAAACCAAACCCCTGAAACTTACCTATTCCAGACATTGCTGTTCTCCCAGAACTCATAAACAATGAAGCGGGAATCACTTGGAAGCTTCTGTATGGAAACGCTAAGAATTGTAGGACAGAACTAATTTAGTAAAACATGACCAAGTTATCAGACATACTAATCTTATTCCAAACTACTTGTGAGTAGGACCAAATACAGTGATTTTTGAAAAAAAAAAACCAAACCCCAAACCAACTCAAATAATAAATTGAACAAATAAGTGATTACATACTGCCAATTATCTGACTTTTTTAAAAAAAAACCTGACTCTTGGAATATTTTCTCAGCTTTTTAATGGCTTTTCTATTACTACATTTATGATGGACTTATTTATGAAACTAATTTTTCATATTGCTCCAACAGTGTCATTTATCTAAAGAAATACTAATTGGTAATACAGAGAATTAAACAACTGTGGTTCAGCGAAAATCAGCTAATCCAGCATATTGCACATAGAGGACAGTTAAAGTAAATTTTACAGAATAACTTCTGCTGTTTCATTGAAGAATTACACTGTGAGAAGTCATCCTTTTGTATGAGAGATGCATCAAAGTGGCATAGAGTTTAGGTGCTTTGAAATCAAATATATAATGGAGTATAAAGCCAGATAGGCTGATGTTTCCTGCAGATACACTTTTTAAGTAATACTGTTGGGTATTCTTATGCTATCCAGCATGGGCGGAAAATGACCCACAGAGTTATCTGCTGATCCTGTACAAAGAATCATCCCACTTATCCTGAGCATAAAATCTCTATAGCACATAGGGTACTTATCATTTGGGTACTCACATACTTCTCTGAGTGCCCAAGTGTGAGATTGCTGATCTTACTACTGAACGCTTGAAAAATGGTCTCAGATTGTATTTCATACTGTAATAAGCAATAAATTTTATGATTTATTTGTTTTCTCCTGCTGTATGGGAAAGTACATTGTAAAATAGCAAAATTATCAATAACTGTTGGAAGAAATGCCAAACAGCTACAGTAAAAACCAAACAGTAGGTGGCATTACAGACTTACCAAATGCCTTTAAACTTGGGAAAGAATAACGTTTTGCCATCGTTTGTTAAGTTGCATTCTAAAGTCATGTAAGCTGTCTCCCCTGACGAGTTTGCAGTCACTACAGTGTTTTGCTGGATGTTCGTTTCTGGAAGGGGGATGGAGTTGTCTTCTTTGTTTTTTTCAGCTCTTGGTCCACAAGAGAATTTTATTTTCCTCATCAGTCTACCTTTACAAGTGACTCACTGCAAAAAGGTCACTATTTTCTTCTTCCATCTTAACTAACTCTCTGGTCTGTGTGAAAGCTACTTATAGAATCCTAAGTGTGACAATCTCATAGCAACAAGACTCATAAATTAGGGATGTGATAGCCTTTGAAGCCTTTAAATATAGAGGAAGATCCTGTATTGTGTACACATTATAAATATTTATTTCATAATGGTCTGTAGTGTGTATGGTAGTACATTTCTCAAGTATGTAAATTAAGAAATACAGTACAGTGGTGAGTCACCAAAATTTATTCTTAACCCAGTTCTAATGTTTTATTTAATTCTAAAAGGAGCAAAGCAGAAATACACTACTTCATTGAAAATTTTGCCTTCTAATTTTTCCCACTGTTTATCATGAATGCAAATTTTGAAATGACAGCCTAAAGGGAAGATTTTGAAAGCTTCCAAAGAGAGAACTGGCAAACAAGATAAGTTGCTTGCTTGCCAGATGAACACAAACAGAGGGTGGCAAATGAGTTTTCCAATAAAAAGTGTCAGCCTCAAGCGTTCACAAGCCATGAACTGATGACCTGCACAGCTGAGAAGTCTTTTGAAAGACCATTTAGCATCTTTGGGATAGCCTGTATTGTCAGTTTGTGATACTACTGTCTGCACAAATACTTTGACATCTCTTTCTGGTTTTAGTTTTCTTTTAAAAGCTCTTATGCATAAATGATTTTACAGGTCCATCTTCACTAGTAACTCAGTTCCACTTAGATGTTATTCAAGAAATCAGACTACATACTTTTCTGCAGCCCAGGGACAATAACATTGTACTTACTGCAAGCAGCCACCCTGAGTAGAAGCAGATTCCACGTACTGCTTCAGAGCAAGCTGGAATTCCTTGATTTCTCCTTCTATCACAGACATTTGACGTTGAACAATCATTATGTGCTGATACAAAAATATGACAATATTACTGCCACATCATCCTCTGATTTCCATGTACTTTAAACTCAGAAAAGTCTATCATAAAACAATAAAAAGCAGAATCATCAAAGAAAACCCACAAAAGTTCCTTTGAAGTAGAAGTGCTTGAGTGTAGCATTTATGTCTAGGCAGGCTGCGGCACAGAATGGAAACACCCAAAATAAGTAAGTGTCCACCTTAGAGATAGTGAGAGTTGTACAAACCCTGCATGAGAAAGTCTTTTTGGAAGAGTGTGAAGCAAATGTTGATCTTTGAAATGCTCAGTAATAAAGTCAGCATGTTTCCTTGGATGAATCTCTATGCAAGCGTGAGGTTTGCAGTAAGAGCGTATTTCCTCAGTCTGCATTGGATTGCAAGTGTTACTTCCACGGAGGTGCCGCTCTTACAGAGCTGTGACTCACACCTGAATGAGATGCCTAAGGTAGCCCATGTTAAATGATGAACAGAGAGGGGTATTTTTCCTCCACTTTTATGAAGAAATGAACAATCTTTATAAGCAGGACTATGGGAACACTCAGCAGTACAGAAGACCTATTTATCCTGAATTATTATGATTATCATTTAGCTATTTTAAGTAGTTTACCTGTTACAGAATCACAAAATTGTCTAGGTTGGAAAAGACCTTGAAGATCATCCAGTTCAACCATCAACCCAACATTAACAGTTCCCAACTATACCATATCCCTAAGCACTATGTTGACCTGACTCTTGAACACCTCCAGGGATGGGGACTCCACCACCTCCCTGGCCAGACCATTCCAACACCTAACAACCCGTTTGGTAAAGAAATGCTTCCTAATATCTAGTCTAAACCTTCCCTGGTGCAACTTGAGGACATTATGTCTTGTCCTGTCACTTATTACTTGGTTCAAGAGACTCACCCCCAGCTCTCTGCAACCTCCTTTCAGGTAGCTGTAGAGGGCGATGAGGTCTCCCCTCAGCCTCCTCTTCTCCAGACTAAACACCCCCAGTTCCCTCAGCCGCTCCCCGTACGACCTGTGCTCCAGACCCTGCACCAGCTTCGTTGCCCTTCTCTGGACACGCTCGAGTCATTCAATGTCCTTTTTGTAGTGAGGGGCCCAAAACTGAACACAGGAATCGAGGTGCGGCCTCACCAGTGCCGAGTACAGGGGTCAGATCCCTTCCCTGTCCCTGCTGGCCACGCTGTTGCTGACACAAGCCAGGATGCCATTGGCCTTCTTGGCCCCCTGGGCACACTGCTGGCTCCTGTTCAGCCAGCTGTCAATCAACACCCCAGGTCCCTCTCTGACTGGCAGCTCTCCAGCCACTCCTCCCCAAGCCTGTAGCGCTGCTGGGGGTTGTTGTGGCCCAAGGGCAGCCCCTGGCATTTGGCCTCATTGAAACTCCTCCAGTTGGCCTCAGCCCATGGCTCCAGCCTGTCCAGGTCTCTCTGCAGAGCCTCCCTACCCTCAAGCAGATCAACACTCCCACCCAGCTGGGTGTCATCTGCAAACTGACTGAGGGTGCACTCGATCCCCTCGTCCAGATCATCAATAAAGATGTTAAACAGGAGTGGCCCCAAAACCGAGCCCTGGGGGACACCACCCGTGACCGGCCTCCAACTGGATTTAACTCCATTCACCACAAGTTTTTAGGACCGGCCATCCAGCCAGCTTGTACCCATCGAAGTGTGCGATCATCCAATAGATATTGAGTCATCTACTGAAGGTTGTCCGTTTTATTCATGCAATATTTAAATAAACACAATGTGCTTCTTAATTAATACAACAACCTCTTGTACAGTTTTTTGATTTATTTCTGCTTTCATTATTGATACTGTTATCTCATCCCTCTGTCATAAGCATCCTGTCTAGCAATATTGTATGATCCCATTTAAAAAAAGAAAAAAATCTAATGCAATTCCTGAGATGAAATAAGAAATTTGATGGATCATCTATTTTGGTTATTTTTTCATGTGTATTAGATTTGCATTTTGTTCTGAAAAGTCCTGAATTTAGGAATGCCAGTGTATTTGAAAAATTTAGCTTCATCTTGGGACATAAGCTTACTTAGCAGTAAGTTTATTTCTGGTCATGATTTTGGTTCTGTAAATTGTAATATTGATTATTGCTTTTAAGATATGATTTCCTATAGCAGTTTTGGGAGGGAGGGAGGCTGTACAACTATTATTTAAAGCATGCATGCAGCATTAGGTAACCAGGACCAGAGAAACCACCACGCCATAAATACTGCTGCCAAGTTTGTTAAATCTTATTAATGACATCTTTTCCTCCTTACATGAGTTGAGGTTTTGGCTCACTGTGTCCTTTGAAAGCAATGCAAAAATTAATATAAAAGTTTTGCCCACATATTCTAAGTTTTGTTTTGTTGCCTCTTGCTCAATGTATTCTGACTAAAATGGATTCATCACTGGAAAAAGTGAGGATGGTGTTTTTTTCAAATTATTTTGTAACACAAGAGATCAAGTGAGATTGTTGTCTCAACACATAACATTCAAAATCAAATATCAAAATCTTGAAAAGCACTTACAGATCTTGCATTTTCTTCCAAAACTTCCTCTTCAAATGGCTCAAGCTTCAGGTCCTTTGAGGCAGTTGAAAAGAAAATAGAAATATAAGAGACAATACTACAGCTGTATTCTGCCCTTACCTGTTTAACAAACTATTCCAATAGTTGGATTCTATCTCCTGAAGTTGTAATTAAATACCTTCTTTATTAAGACTCCTGTAAATCAAACATAAGCATTTTTTGCAGAATCTTGCACACTTCAGTGGTTAAATCCAACACACATTGTTCTGTAAATTTTTATTTATAATGATGAGCCAGTGATCTTCCATTTGTAACAAATCCGCTTGTTCACAAATATATGTTGGACTTAACTGAGAAAAGCCAAATACCTTCTCAAATTGTCACGTGGACTATGGAGATGAGCAAGGATGGTAATTTGAACTGAAATATCAGCCACTACTATGCAATCAAAAAGATTTACACAGAAGAAACTTCTCTATGGGGGGTTTATGGTTGCAAGGGACTGGTTTCTAGCATTGAAAAAGATGTGCATGAGGCTCCAAGTCAGGTTTCTGAGTTGCTGCACTTGCTTCTGAGGACAGGCTGAGCAGCAGCAAAGAGATGAATCTGTGAGGCAGCAGTATGCTTGCTTGGTATGCGGACTGGATCAGTGATTCATACAAATACCATTTAGTAACACACAAAATTTTCATTTACATGCTAGGCACATGCAGTACCTCTAACCTAGCGTCATGTGGATATTTTGAAAAACATCTATAAGCCTGAAAATAAGGAGATCGATTTGCAGTAAGCAGCTGCAGCAAAATGCACTCATTGCTAGTGGTGCTTCGCTTCTTATTGCACACAATTCTTGTGTAACAAAGAGAAAAAATTTTCTTCTGCTTCCAGCTGGGTGAAGATTGATTAACCTCGGGTAGCAGGCGTTTTGCCAGCACAGATACTGTACTCGCTGCGAAGCCGACAAGGGGTGTGCAGGTAGAATTCAAATGAACAGGGGACACACACCAGCAGCAGGTGGCAGAACAAGGCAGGAGCAAAGTAGCGGGCACACAGTAACTGCTGTGTAGCTGCATCCCTCCTGCAGAACGTGCATAGAATGGCATGAAATGTGTGCGTGGAGGAAAAAAATCACCTGGCTTTAATAGCTCATTTGTTAGTGCAGACACTTCAGGTAAAAACCTTGAGGGAAAATGCATATTCCTGTGGCTCTTCTATACTTACAGTGCATGTTTTTTTTCTAGGAAAATGTATTGAAAAAGAGGAAAGGAATGACTCAAGTTGCAGTGCAAACTTTCTCTTAAGGGAGCAAGAAAAGAATCAATTTTTTTTCTAGTATATATAAATTTTGAATTTGAGGAGAAAACAGATGATTTACAACACTGATTCATTGGTTAAATACACCTTTAACAGAAGACAGCAGAAGAGTTAGACAACACTAACTCAACCCTTCACCAGGTAGTTTTCCAGTAGGACCCACTGATGAACCACTTGCTGGCCCCCTCAAGAAGTTAAAAATAATCTATAGCAGTTCTTCAGTAATGCTATGTCATTAGACAGGGCATGACTACCCAGGTGGGTAAGTCTCCACAGCCAGCCTGCTGTGACCTCAGAGCATGTGAGGCACACAGTCCTCATCTGTGTGGAAAGAGTGCTCATGCACTGGCTTACTCGATGTTGAGCATGAGTGAAGTAGCCCAATGTGGAGAACAGAGGTCCTGCCAGCTGATGCAGCTCAGAGCTGGGGCTTTAAAATGCCTCTGCAGTCCTATCTCACCTCAGCTGAGAAGAGGTAGCTTCTGAAATTGCCTGTTAGCATGACTGCGTGATGTTTTCTAATCTGTTTTGGGGCAAAGTCAAAAAGAGGAGCTTTAGTAGCAGCTGAAATATGGCTGGTAACACCTCTCACAGTTAGATCTGCCCATGAAATACAAAGTCAAGCAGAAGCTAAGTCAGGCAAAGGTGGATATCGGCTGTCTACTTGGAAAATTAGGTTTATCTAATTGCTATGTTTTATTAATCAAATTTTATATTGACAAGGTGATAATTATGGAAGGTCTGTGCTCTGCCACTGTTCACCCTTGTCACTGAGCTCCTTTTCAGACTGAGGTTCTCTGTCATTTCTCCGTAGCAGTTTTGATGACTGTATAGAATCCTTGTAAGTTCATTTACTGCAGAATGGTTGGCTGCTTTCTGTAATGTTTGCATTGCATCATTGCTGTATGTCCGGTTTCTTTTTTTCAGTAACATTCTTTCAAATGTTAAGTTTCCTTACACTCCTTTTGGCATCAGTCTGTGTTGGGAGGCAGCTGTGGCAGGGCAGCGAGCTGCTGATTCCAAAGCAGAACCGGGAGTAAAGCTGGACCAAAAGTGCGAATTACGTTTCATGAAGGACTTTGACATTTCAAAATCCAATTTTTATCTGTTCAGAAAAAAAAAATCAAGTTGCTACTAAAATGTCATTAATATGGCAACTGCTGTGTAATTGCTTTTCTCATACAGAAATGACCTCTGGGAAGAAGCTGTTGTGTGCAGGTGGATAGATATGCCCTGGCCAGAGGCTCAGTGGATTGAGCAGATCATGAGGAGCTGCTAAGCATAGCAAGGAGCAGAGTGAGAAGCTGACAGAAGTTACAGACAGTGCCACAATGAATGGCCGAATTTCACAGCTAGCTAAGGAGAAGCAATGTGAGAGACTGCCAGACCTCAGGGATGACTGAAGGGAGTACTGGGCTCCTTTTGGAGAGCAGAGTCTTGCAAGGCCAGCAGTGTATCAGTAATGCAGCTAATCAGTAATAAGGTGGTGATAACAGAAATACCAAATTTTGGTCCTAAACAGGAAAAGTAATTTGTTCATTTGTGAGCGAGGAATGGCAGAGAAAGGTCAGTATTCTGTCTTCTTGTTAAATCCCTTACTTAACTGTTTTCTGTGTGTATAATTTGCTACTGAATTCGAGTGGGACTAGTGGATGAGTAGGAGGAGACAGTTGTCTGCTGGGACCCAAGGTCTGAACCAGTGCCTGGGTAAGGGACATGGGTCCAGCCACAAATACTAGGAAGACTTAAAGCCCATGGTAATGTTCATAGAGGAACATCCATCCTGATCTGCTGGAAAGAAGGACCAGGATCAGGCTCTTGCACATTCATGTTTCCACATGTGCTGCCTGTCTGTTTGCAGTGCTGGTGAAGGCACCCATGCAGATAGATGTGTGTGGACCCATGTCTTTGGAGAACATGCACAGCCTTACTGCTGGTGAGCACTGACCTGCAGGGAGGAGCACCATCAGCTGCACTGGAACTGGAGCAACTTCTGTGTCTGAGAGCTCTTCAACCTAAAATCTCACCTCTAGTAGACCAGGAGGAAGCAATCCCCTGGGTCCCAAAATTCGCTGAATTCAGCCATTCCCTTAGCACCTATCTGAAATTGTCTGTCTGTCCTTCAACGGGGACACTTCATGTAGAGAACAACACAGGAATTTATAACCTTACTTTTTCCTCCGCTCTTCTTTCTCCTCAAAAAAACCCCCAAATCATTACACACAGACATAAACCAACTTTTAAAACCTAGGCTAGCAATCAATCTGATTTAAAAAAAAAAAAAGATTCATACAGGCACATGTTATTCAGGTTTTTGCAAGCCCTGGGAAGCCTTGGTATCGTTGAATCAGAGGGGTCATTTGTCAGATTCCTGGAGGGCTCTGCTTTGGCGTGGGAACCACAGGCAGTCTCAGGGTTCCAGGGGCTGGTGCAGCTGGCTCCCAGGCAGGATGGTGGGATTTGCATCACCTTTTGGTTGAACTGTACTTATTAGGGAAGTGTTTAAACCTTTATAAATTAGTATTCTCTGATGGGAAAGTTTGGAGAGGAAAATATCAGATCCTAGAAAGAATGGCTTGTCCTGTGTCCCCCAAAACAAGTATAACTAAATGCTATAACATCCTCCAGTCATAGACTAATGTGACTTTTCAGATATTTATGAAAAGCTGGATCTGTAGTGATGGCAAGGGGAAAGGGGAGCGTGGAAAAACCGTCATGATTTTGTGAAATACGAAAGAAAGTGGAAGGAAAATGTAGGCATTTAATGAGTGTTAGCTCTCTTAGGTGATGTTGAAATGTCAGTCATTATTGTTTGGAAAGACTGACTGGGACATTGAAAGCATTTGTGGTTTAAGGATTGCTTAACCAAAAGAGAGAGAACAAATAGGTGAAAAGAAACACACACCTTCTTTTCCAGCCTGTCAATCAGTTTTTGGAGTCTGTTTATCTGGGTCATCCACTGGCTGTCTTCCTCAATCCAACCTTTGGAAAATATAAATAATGAACATTTGCAAAGTGTTACTAAATTCTAGAACATAGTGTATTCATTTCTTTTATATATAAAAAAGTTTATCTTAGCTTAAAATTTATTTTGCTTCTTGAAAATTGTGCTGCAACTAGTTCAGTGTTCATTTAGGTATAACAAGGATATCATGATTTTGACTATATGATTTTCTTTCTTTTTAAGATACAATAAAAATCCAATGCAGAATGAAAATTACATTCTAGATTAATGACAGTGCTTTCAAAATCATGCTGATACCTTAAGAAAGGAATGGTCTTCTCTGCAGATGGAACTAGCTCATAACCTGAGCACCTTCTGCTCAAAATGCAAAATCATCTTGAGGGTGTGTGTATTACAGATTTCTCTTAATATTTTTTGTAGTTTGCCATTTCTTAGTCTTCTTTATGTGAACGTTTCTATGAGTCAACTCTTTTGCTGCATAGCAAGCCTGTCTTTGGGATTCCATTCAAATACATCCCATTTGCTGTGTCATGTGTGCAGTTCCTCTTTCACATGACAGCACTCACTGGTGAAGGTGAAAGGAAGGCAGACAAGACTGTCTTAAATATCCTGGCATGGCCCATACAGCTTAGGTGATAGGATCTTACTTCCTCCTGCAGAGAGACAGCAGACCTGCTGTAGGGCCCCACTGCAAGGACATTGCTGTGGTCAGCCAGTTCTTAGTGTCCTGACACAGTGCTTCCAGCAGAATTCCAGGATTATTTGAAGATCATGTATGTTCCTTCCCCATAAAAAAACCCAAAAACATTCTTATAAACAGCAGGAAAGAATCAACTTGGTGTACCTGTGCAGCTACATGGTCTAGGTTTCTGGCATGGCTGGTTGAGGAATCCTGATATGTAGGGATTCCTGAAGAAGACTCTTAACATAATCGTAGAATGTCTCACATGCATTGGGAATAAGGGGCTTTCTCTTTGTTCAGAAAATGTTCATTTAGCTGCAACAGCTGTTTTTATACTTAAACTCTGAGGGTTTTTCAGCTTTGTTAGTCATCTGCAATATTCTGTCTTAGGGGTTTTCATGTGTTTGTCCACTTAATTATGGATATAATCTTCAGGTGAAATCTATAGCTGATTTAATAACATTAACTGTATGTCCCTTGCAGCTAATGATCCTTCTTTATCTTTCCAACCAAACAGCATGCCTAGGTGCTTGATGAATTGCAGCAATATGATTATTAGGATTGATCCTCTCTACACTATTTTTTTTCTGGAATGAGATTTTGGTTTTGAGATGTGTAATTTACACCTGTAGTGACTGCAAATTTTTACCAACTCAAGATTAAGTTTCATCATAATAACTTTCCTATGTTTATTTTCCTCCCAAGTCATGGAATTCAGCAGCAGACGAAAGACTAAAGACGCTGTGTCTTGTCTCTCTATATGGATAGGACATGCCCCTTTCAGAAGATGCTTTAATTCTCCATCTCTACTCCAGTCAATGACCTGATGTCACATAGTAAGTGTGAAGCTAGAAGAGGTTTTACAAAGGCACAAGCATTTATGAACCTCTCTAAAGTATGTGGAAAATGTTGCATTGCTTAAGTCTCGGGAAAATTGTCTGTCAGATGGAAAGGATAATACTCAAGGAAACAGGTATGTGCATTGTGACAGCAGTTCCTGGCATCACCCACAGTGTGAATGTGTACATAAGTGATTCATTTAAGGAGAGAGGAAGGTTATTTATCAGAAACTAAAGATTTTTCAATGCATGCTCTTGATATGTGCATTCATTAACCTGCTTATTTTCCAGCTGAGAGTTCTTGTGGCACTTGGACTATGTTTTGACAAAACAATGAAATCCTAATGCTGGGGACATACCACAGGTGCGATATGTAGATGAGGCAGAGTGTGGCTTTACCTGAACAAACATAAAGGCTAAAGAAATGCTGGCTTGAGTGTTGGGTACATATACACACCTACAGTGTTACTGTACATGTGGGCAGCCGGCAGTAGGAGGAAGACCAAGTGCCAAGACAAACACAAATCTTGTTGGGAGAGCAGACAGATGTTAGACAGCTGTTAGAACAGTTGTGGAGAAAGATGTTAGCTCTTTAAAATTATATTAAATGGCTTTGGTACAGCTTGCCTATTTTTGGGTTCCTTCTGAACTCTGAATTAGAAGTGCAGCAACAAGGCTATTGACCTTCCTTGTTACGAACACCAGCAACTCAGAGCAAGGGATAAATATCATCCTGCGTCATTGCACTGAATGAGCAGCAGCATTTGGTGACTGGCAGAAAGGTCTTCAAAAGAGGGTTAAAAAGGAAGAAGCAAGCACATGGCTGCAAGCAGTGAGATCCATATGACTTGTCAAGAAGAGGGCTTGACCCATCATGTACTTTGGTGCTTCAGTTGCCTTCATGCCTTGACTCTGGGAGACATCACTAAGCCTGGAGATGCCTTCACTGCAGCTTCACGCTTAATGTCACTGCTTCCAAAGAATCCCGTTTACTAAAGTACCCTCCCATGTTTTCCAAAGCAGAAATGCTGTTTCAGATTTTTTTGGTATCATCTTAAATGAAGTCTTTTTTTCTTACAGGTTTTATATTTTCCCTGTTATTTGTTCCCCTCAGTTGGGATGTAAGTCACGACAGAGAACTTGGTTCTGTATAAGTCACAGCCTTCACCTTTTCATTCTTATCTGTAGGCTACAAATACAACCTAAGAAAAACAGCCCCCAAAAATACCACAGTTTGGCCCATAATTATGTATTTATTTTTTTATCAGTTCAGATCTATGGGTATATATTTATTTTCCTTACAGTTTGAGCTAATACCTTCTGTATTAAACTGAAGATTGATTTCTGCCATAGAATATCTGAGTTAGTTACCATGTCTAAATCAAATTTTTGAAAGGAAGATACATCTATATTTTTCTGTATGTGTGTTTTAAATATCTTTAAAATGTGAAATACCATACCTGTGCTAAAATGAGGGCTATTTGGTGACAGGCTGTTGTTCCTCTGAAGCCTTCGAGTTGAGCGTTTTCCTGGCCATTGAATTGAGGGCATTTCTGGTTTTTCTGGATCTTGTCTGCACAGAAACACAGAAGACTTCATAAGGTAAAATGAGTGGGAGAGCTCTCCTACCTTTGTTCTCAAGAAATGTGCTTATATGTTCCCTTTTGAATTGTAAAAGGAGAAATACCTATTGAGACCACTGAATTATTTTCCAGATTTTCACTATTACTAATCAGTTGTTTATTTAGGTTGCTAGTTATTAGAGAAGTTAAAAATAAAGGAGGGTTAAGCTGGCATAAACCTATCTTTTAGGGAGAGAAAGCTTGAGGTCAGTGTCTGTCCATGATGTGTTCTAACCTGACCTAAAGAACCATTTATACCATTTCTTCATTCACAGGAGTTTCATAGCATCTCTGCAGATGAACTGGGGTCACAAGAACAGCTAAAAGTGAGATATGAACTTTAAACATTGACCCCTTCAGCTTAAAGATTTACAAGATAAACAGCAATATGTATCTGTTTAATAAGGAAGAAAAACAGATGAGAATTATCTAATAGTGGATGAAGGACAGATACATTTCTGGGACCAGTACTGAAACAAAGCAGATACAGAATGACTTATGTTTGTACTGCAATGACAGAGTCATTGAACCTTGAGAGTCTGTGTGAGGACTGAAGGCTGTCTCTATGTGGTTCTTCATCATCCAGCTGGAGAGCAATGATGGACTATGGTTAGTTTTGAACAGTTAGTTGGATGAGTGGTTGCAAAGAATGCTAGACAGTAGCCTAAACAGTTCAGTAAATAATTCCCAGGTCACCGCTTTGGAAAGTTCTCTGGTCTCCTGGAGCGCAGAATGAAGACTCACCAAAAGCTCACACACTGTGAAGGAGATGTTTTAGGATGGTATTTTCTGCAGCATAAAATCCCCTCACAGTAAACCAAATTATAGCAGTTCTCCACTCTGAGCACTCAAATTAGTTTAAGAGTGTCTTAATGGGATTTTGATTCAGACAATTTGCCCCTGAGTTGTTAAATATAATTGGACATGATTCCACAAAGCAACCAGGGCACCTCCACTAGGAGATAACTCATTTTATCCAAAATAGCTGTGATGAAAGTGCTGAGTTTGCCTGGCTCTTCCATTGCTACCTCAGAAAATGGGGAAGACGGTATTTGGCTTAACAGTGTCAAACCTCTTTCTCATTTTCTTTGCCATAAACCAAATTCACCATCCAAGAGGATATCTCTGAATAACTGTACTGATAAAACTGGAGAAAGAAGTCTCTCCAATGCCCTACTAGAGAGTCAATGCAGATGAGAAAGCTGGCAGCAAAAGGGATGTTCATATCTCTCAATTCTATGGACCCAAGTGAGTAGTTTGAGTTATTCAGATAGTCTTTCTAGGCTGTAATTTTAGAGAAGTTGTCCTAAAAGGCAAGTGAGAGAAGATGTCAGTGATTACTCCAGAGGATGTTAAGAGTATCTAAGTTAGGCTCCAGCTCTGAACTGGCATTCTAGACTTAACTTTCTCTCCCATCAGTTGTGTGGGGAGCCTGAAAGGATGTATGCATGAATGGAGGGGTATATATAGTGTGCACACCCAGCACATCCTCTGCCTTTCAAAACCTGCTTGATTCCTGTGGTCAAGCTGCTGGCACAAACCCCAGTGTATTACTGATGTATTTCAGAGATCTCAAAACCAACAGCAAAACAAACAAGAAAATGACATTTCCAAAAGAAAGAATTAAAAATCAATGCATTTTATGCAATATGCAACATATGAAGTGTTTAGATCTTCTTTGTCCATGAAACAGAACAGCTTGTATTTTGCCTTCCCTATCATTTTTAACAATAGCTTACTGAGGAAAACAAATCCATCAAGCCAAGTACCTTTTCAAAAATGTTTTGATCCTCGATCCTACAAAACCTCATCTAAGAGGTCATAGTATTAAATTTTGCTAAACCCCTTATATATAAGTTACCCAGGTAATTGAGAGTTTATATGGGATCACTGTACAACCAGGAATGAAAAAAAAAATTGTAAAGCTGGAAGAAACAAAGAGACAGTCAGTAGTCTTAGTAATTTCAGAACTCTTCACATTGCAGTGGTCTGGTTTCTGCATTTGATATTAAATAGTTAATGGATTTAAAAAGAAGTCAAAGGAGCAGAGCCTAGGTGTAACAAAATGGTCCTCCTACATGCCACCCACCAAAGGATCAGATTGAAACGTGCTTGTATTCAATTTCAGGAAAACTCCTACTAGTGAGTTCCTATATGGAATAAAAAGTGTATCCTTATTTCTCCTGTTATTCCCTACATCAGGTTGCTGAGTGAAATGTAAAATAGTCTTGGAGGTTCACAGTGACCCCACTCCTCACCTCCTTCACTGCAGCTGGGCAGAAGGTTTGCTCACCTCTCCTGCCGAGTCTGCTCCTCTGTGGTTTCCATGGCACACTCCAGGCTGCTCTGGAGGGACTGAAGCTGGTTCAGTGTTTCCTTCAAAAGAAAGCGAGTCACAAACTGCTCCAAATTAGAAGCTTCCTGATAGTCCTAAAAATTGCATGGAAAAAAAAAAAAAAAAAGATAAGTATTTGCCTGCTAGGTTAGAAATATGTGAGGGAAGATTCAGACTTAATTCAGAAAGGAAGCAGGTTGGATGTTTTTGTGCTTATACATGCAAAACACATAAGCAACCTTTATGTTTCCAGACAAAAAGACTTTCAAATTTCCAAGTATAGACACTGATCCCACCCAAGCTGAGAGAGGCTCAGGTACATGGTGGCACAACATAGTTTCTACTCAAAAAAACCCTTTTCCTTACATTTAACTCCAGTTGATGGCAGTACCACATTACCTCTTAAGTATAGAAAAGCCAAGATATGATTGACAACTGCAGAAGTGAATTTAAAGTTTTTATTCAGATCCACTCTTGTGAAAAGATGTTTCTCTAGCCCACTGGCCTGTCTCTGACACTGATTATGGGAACAGCCTTTGAGCAGGGCACGTGCTTAGTGATACTCCCCTGGAAAACTCCACCAGCAGTTTGGCTGAAGGACTGCCTGTGCCAGAGTGCCTTCTGAATTTAACAGTCCTTGACTGATTTTTGTTCCTTTAATTTGTTTATTTATTTTTGAAAACATGTCTGTATATTTCACAATTACATGAAATGCATCTAAATGTTCTCTGAGTTGGAGCTTGGTTATTAGAAGAGTTTGCACCTATATTTAGCAGTCTGTAATGGTTCTTTGTGTAAAGACATTTCCAATATATTTGATGTGTTCAAAAATATTTATGCCTATTTTGTGTAGATAATTTCAGAAATAAATTCCTACACCTGCTCTCGCTGTGGCCCAATGAATCATACTTACACAGATGGGGTCAACTTTAACATTTCTGGCAAGCCTAGATCTGCAAAACCCAGTTCTGCAGTGACATATAGGTAATGCTGTGTGAGGGGGTTTGCTTATGCAGTAAGTCTGCTTATGTGTGCAGAAAACCCACTCATCTCACATTGAAAGCCTTTGGGTACAATTCCATCTAAAATGGTTTCATAAAACACTGAATGAAAGTTTTATCTAGTCAACACATCTGAAGATAGATGATGGTCTGTTATCTTCAAGCTTTAAAGAAAACTTGTCATTTGAATGGTGTTTCCTCCTACTCTAAGCTGAGAACCCATTTGAGTATTTTTGGCAATGCATATGGGTATTTTTAAGCTCTTTGCTGTTCTTCCCAATGCAAATTACAGCTGAAACGCCTTTTTGACTTTTAGACTTCTCTTAGAATTTTTGCATGTATGTGTTTGCAATCAGAACACAAATACAGGATGTTCTGAAATGTAAAATAAAAGATTTAAGATAACAGCTTTAAAAGAATTTTGCTCTCAAATGAGAGCAATCTATTCACAATACATGTTGTTAAGTTAGTTCCTGTGGGGAGACTTCTGCTACAGAAATCTCAGATGTTAAACCACCCATGAATTATCAGAAGTTATTTATGTAGCTAGGAGCTTCATGGTCCTCTAAATTTACTTCTGTCTTCAGATTAATCAGGTGTGCCACTCTCCAATAAGTAAATTCTTATTTATACATTTTTAAAATAGCTATTCATGGGAGATTGTCTGCCTACCTTTTGAGTGAGTATCTGAGACTCACACCAGCCCTGTAAATAATGTTATGGCAACCTTTATGATTACTAAATCTTATGCAATAGGAAAGCTGATATGTTTTTTCTTTTTCTAAATTGTTTCCATTGTATAATAACTGATTTAAAACTTTGGTGCACCTGACAGAGATCATTTGCTTTCCAAAAATTGTGATTCTCTGTGGCATGTTAGAGCAATGTGTGCAAATCTGTGTAGCATGAGCAGCTAAATAAAACCCTGCAATATAAACCCAATTTTTCAGCTTTTGCCAGTGGTCCTGGAAATATGTGAACAAAAACTAACAGAACTGACTATTACTGACCATTTCTTGTAAGTTTTTCAATACCAAAGCCATCTCACAAGAGGAGGATAATCAAAGTGTTTTAAAATTCTGGGCACCCAAAAAGTAACTGCTACAGATACCTCCAGATAGCTTCCTGCTAATAGTCATGGTAAATCTGATACCAGCATGCCAAATTACAACTTAAAATGTAGATCAATACTGTTTCATTTTGCAAACTGTTCAGGTGGGCCCTTGCTGATGAGTGGATCATATAAACATTAGCTGTGTAATACTTGCTACTGTCTGAGGCTGGCTGCTTCTTGACTCCTTCAGAAATACTTTCCTGCATCTGAAAGTTATTAAGATTTTTTTCATCAGAACTACTCCAGGTCTGTGCATTGCAGCAGGATTTAGTCTTTCTTCTTCCTCTTCTGTTGTCCCATAAGTTCTATACTTAAAGGCTTTCCTATGGAAAAGGTCTTTGTGATCTTTAAATACGGCTTAGAGTTACCTGACTGGGTACACAGAGCTTTTTTTGTAAAGATGGGCTAGGCAGGCTAGTATTATCAAAGACTCTTTCCTTATGTATATTTTACCCAAATATTGGTGTTTACAACTCTTCTGTGCAGAATTACATAACTCTCCTAATGCACCCAGTTGGGCAAATGGCTACTCAATATTTTCTCTAATGTTCTGAGACCAGCAATTCTGAGCTCACAGCAGTGTTGCTGTTTGTTTACTAAAGGTACTAAAGACTTCAATAGAAGAAAGAAAATGTTAATTCTGAATTGAAAAAAATGTGTATCAATTTACTAAGCATATATTATGGTAAAATCAGCTTAACTGGCATCCCCAGCATTTGTATTGTCAGTATAGTCTGCCAGAAATTAATAATGGGACCCACTGATGGTGTCTGTATGTAAAATAGAAGAACAGCCTGTTACTTGAATTTCATTAGCTGTAAATTACTGTTCATTAGCATATACATTATACTGCACAGCAGTTTGGGCAGTCTAGATGAAATAAATCTGTGTGAACTCATCGTTCTGCTTGTTAGTTTTACTGATTGTGAGTGAGGGTAATTTTCCACATCTTCCTCATCAAGAGACAACTGCGACCTTTGTGAGCAGCTAAGATTTGACTTTCCATTAATGCAACTGAAAATTCATATAATTAGTGATGTCCCTGTGGAAAAGGTCACAGCGATCTTTAAAACTGGCTTAAGGCTATCTTAAAAGGTGCATTGAGGTTCTTTTATAAAGGTGGAGGAGGCAGGGCTTAGGTATCTCTTAAGAGAGTCCAGATCTCAGGATTACAGGTTCAGTGACTCTCTTAATCCTGTTGAGCCCCGGTGCCAGCCCCGATCCTCTACCCTTGTGTGATCTGACATGATGCTGATCCACTAATAACAGCTTCTTGAGATGGGGAAGGAGGGAGATACCTGCGCTCACTTACTTGGGGCAAGGAAATTAAACTTGGTTGGGACAAAAAATAACTCTGAAATTTCTCAGAAGGGGTGGGAGCTTAGGCAAGAGCTCCACAAACTTAGTGGGAAAGGATGTCTGGCTGCTATTTATTCCAACCCCCTGTTCAGGGCAGGGCCAAATTCAAAGCTAGTTCAGGCCACCTGGGGCCATGTCCGGCTGAGTTTGGAATATCTCCAAGGATGGAGATTATACCATCTCTCTGGGTAACCTGGTCCAGTGTTGTACCACTCCCACTGTGAAAAGTATTCTCCATATGCCTAGTCAGCATTTTCCCTTCTGCGAGCTGTAGCAGTTGCCTCCTATGTTTTTGCTATGCACCCCTGAAAAAGACAATGTTCTTTTGTCTTCTCTATAACTCTCCTTTAGATAGTATAATTACATTGTCCCAGAGCCTCTTCTCCAGGCTGACCAAACCTAGTCTCCTTGGCCTCTCCTTCCTATATTGCTATATAGTAGTTTATGTTATACAACACTTTGTAATGTATTTGTACTTCATTTTATTTGTAACATTACTCATAATAGTTTATATTTATTACTTCCATATTACTCTGCAATTTTCTGTTCCATATTTTATATATCATATCAAAATAATTTAATAAAAATTATTTATGCTTATCTTTACAAAAAATATCCCCAAGACAACTGAAAAGTAGTTATTATTGAGCAAAAGTCAGTAAGGAATAATCTATTTAATTTTCCCTTGATCATGAAATGTTTCCTGCCCTGTATGTTTAGACCCTACATTAGTGGGACAGTGCCCTAAGTTACAACTTTAAATTGAAGATATAAAATTAGTCAGAATAACTGTCCTAAAATGAAAAAGAATTTACACCTTTTGTATTTCAGTCACTAAGATCTAATTCTTCAGACTGTTGGATGGCATCAGAACAGAGTCAGAGTAAAATTGTAATTTCAACAGAAGCCAGATCCAGAGATGCTTACTGTGTTGACTTCACAGAGATGCAACTTTTACAGAATCCTCACTGTAAGAGTGAGCCAAAGGCATAACATGCCAAACTGTTAAATAGATTCAACTTCCATTTTAGAATGCAGCACAAACTTTACAAGTTTACTGAAGTGTTACATTTGGAATAAATTACATGTTTAAATTTTGTCTAGAGAACTGGAACAGTGACAACCTCTGCTGAGCGGCTGCAGTGCTGTCATAAAAGCAATGAAATAAAATATGCAGCCTTAGGTGATTATAGGAGAATACTGAGACACATTTGTAAAAGCATCCACCAGAACATCACGAAAGAATTCATGCATGGATAAAAACTCCTATTTAAATGTTCTTAAGTGAACCACATAGCTTAGAGAGAAGAAACTGTGTTTTGGCTGTGTTTTCTATCAGCAGGTAGCAGGGATATGTGCAATACCATTGCTTCTGGGAAAAAGATTGTAAGAATACAAGGAAAACATCAAAGCTGTTGGTGCTTTTCATAAGTATCAACAGGAGAATGGCTAGGTTAAATGTTTCCTTTTCTCCTGTGAAGTTATTTCTATACACTTTTATGTTTAAAAGTATGGATATTAACTTAGTTAAGATGGGGGGGGTGTTGTTATTTGTTTAGGGTTTTTTTTTTAGTTCTGACTACCCACTGCTACCAGTAAAAATTTGAGTTTGTGTATTTCT